CTCTGATTGATCGAGGGATTTTGCACGACCTCACCCATTTGTCTTTGGTAGTTACTGCCTACACCCGTCTCCATTGGTCCCGTCTTCTTAACTGGAACTCACGAAGCTAGTCACTACTGAGCACATGTTACGATATTTTCAGTTAGAGTTTTTGTAGATTTGTGTTTTTACACATTTGAAATCATGTTGGGTAGAATAATAATTATAATAGTAGTGATATTAGTTAAAAGTATATGGAAGATCATTACAATAGCTATGTACACATAGGTTTTTATATTGTTTTATTCTTACGCTTATTATAAGTGATAATAAATACTTAAGTGTTTTTGGTCATATCTGTGTTTACCCATTGATATTGCGGTTCCCCATATGTTAACATGTTTATATGATGATTTACTTTGCAAACGCATTTCATCAATCAATGGCAGATTGTTTCAGGAAGGCTGCAGAATGAATATGAATCTTTTATTTGATGGTTTAGCAAGGCAAAGAATAATTCACTTTTATAATGTTTACCTTGGCTAACAGTGAATTTATTGGAAAGTTTAATTAATGCTAGTCGACTCCTAAACTGTTAATTGATGTCGAGATTTCTTTCACGAGTTTTGTCTTGTAAAAAAAATTCGACATTGAACAAGTGATATTCAACAACTGTCGCATAGTTTGAAAAATGGAGTTTATGAATAAAGATTTTATTTTGTTGATTTTGTCTAATTTCATGGTTCTTTTCCTCAATAGAAAATCTCTGTGAAACAAAGAATTAATTTAAAACTAGCCTATTAATTTTGAATCTTCAGTGCTTCTTCAATGAATGCTAGCTCTCAATCAATCCAAATCATAATTTTACGAAACCTCTACAAAAAGTACCTCATAGTAATAACACTAATTTTCGATTGTAAATAGACATCTGTAACTTGTAATAGGAAATTTTATTGCCCATAAAGTCAATTAAGTGAGGTGTGAAGCAGTAGCTTATTAATTGATTATGACATTCAAACTTTATTGTGAATATAAGTAGATCTAAAATATAGTTCAATTCGACTATCTAAAATTAACGTACTCGTTTCAAAACATGATGTTAGTTAGGTGCAAACCGATTGGAAATCATGGGGTTCTTTATGCTAAGTATTTTAAGACTGGGAAAAGACAGCTGAACATTACTCCCGAATTTTTAATAATGCTTATTATTGAAACTACCTTCAAACTGATATTTCATCAAGTTTATTCTATATTTTTGTAAAATTCATTTGTGACACAACTTATATGATGAAACCATTAATTGATCAACGTTGGACCACCATTAGAAACTTGTAAGGACTGGTCGGCCATTTCTATTTAGCATGGGATTCAACAGCAGTGTGCATCCACAATCCTGCGAGCAGAAATCGCATCCACAACCTTCGGTCTTGCGAGCGAACACCTAACTTGTAGACAGCTGAGCAGACGTTCAACGATGTTAACGTCTAACATCAATCAGTTCATAATATTGCGAGACTTCATCCATTGTCTTCGGTTGGTAACTCTGCCTCATACCAGACTCGGTTGAACTCAACTGATAACAGCTAGAACTCACTAGAATTTTGAGAATTTCCTGTAATGACAAATAATATAGATTTATTTCTGTTATGTTTTTATATAAGAACATAGTGAAAGAGTAGTTTCAATTAAAAACTAAGGAATTTTCTATAAATTTTGAAGTTTAAGATAGTTTAAATTGACGCTTATGCTTATAAGATTGAATAAAGAACAAAAAATTTTTTATGTAGATTCATTTCAGAGATAATATTCAAACTTTCAAGTTAAATATTCGTTTTTATTCATAATGAAGTGAATAAACAATGTTATGATTTACTATCATGATCATCTACAATGATGTGAATGATTAATGCTTTATATCAAATTATTAAATTCCACATTGACTATTGAACACGAATAGTAGGCTTATAGACATTATACATTATACGAACACTAATAAATATTTTTTTTCATTGATGTGTTTATAACCGGCCCAACATAATGTTTCAGTTGTGTATACATGTTTCATAGATGAATGAATATAGGTTATTACTATTGATTAATGAACCATATGTGTGGTGGTAAGTAAACGGAATAGAAATATGAATTCATTGTGTAAATAAATCACATCAAAATGAACTGTGCTTTATATATGGTCTACATACATGACATTACTGATGGGCGTAGTGCAATTACTAGTTAATTGATCCATATAAATGATTTAAAAGTAGGGAAACAGACATCATCTATTGATTATGTATGTATTATAATTGTTTATGTGGTTTTTGATTTGAATAGATTTTGTGTACACGTCTAAATACATGTGGGTACATTGTTTATGGGAGTAAATTATTTAGAAAAAAAGGCAGACATACTAATAGTCAGACTATACTGAAACCCTGGATTTGATGTTAACTAGAAATGTAATTGATCGGTTGTTTAATAAGTCATGTGTTGATCAATGATTCTCAAAACAGTGGATATAATCTCAGGAGGAAAATATTCATAAATGCTCTTCTCGTAATTTTAAGCACAATGAAACAGTTTCTCTCTCTATTAGTTTATAGTAAATCTGAAAAACCTTGTGCATCACAAGGGACAATCCAAGGTCATACAACGTAAACATCATTACTAGAATTGTTAGCACTAGGAATAAGAAGGAATTCTGAGATAATGACTACTTTTTTGGGAGATCATAGATAGAATGCATTCTACAATAACCAAGGCTTTTTAAAACTTTTTCTCTGTTATTCAGTTTTTCGGTTACCGTAAAATGTGCAGGACAGCATAAATGATGTTTTAGTTATCAGGAAGGTCAAAGAGACCTAAAGCACGATAAATATTCTGATGATGACTTCTGTGCACTTTTAGCATCATAGTGTGATAACCATACCAGTTCACAACAGGGTTTCCGGTACTTTGTTCATGAAGCAATAATTAAAACAACTTCAAGAACTCAATCTTCAACATTTCATAAGCTATGACGTGTAAATACTGATAGAAATCATGTCAATATGACATAATGCGGTTATAATGGAACCTGAAACGATTGCACTGATAATTTGTTGAGTACATATGGCTATTAACATCTGTGTATCAGTTGTCAGAACGTTTCGCAAATCGCTCAAATATTACAACTGTAAGATTTAAATTTGCAATATTTAACTTAGTAAATGATTCGTTCACTCAACAAAACATAAATTCTTCTGTTTGTTTCGCTTCCTATTACAGATAAAGCCGCTATGAATAATACTAACGTTAGAAATAGTTCTGCATGAAATCAAAAATTAATTCAGTTTTTATGAAGAGTTTATGGAAATTGTTGAATTTAATAGTCTACACTAAACAGCTGTTCAGTACTCATAGGTTTTCAACGGTTTCCTAAGGTCAGTGTATGATGTAACCTATAAAAAAAAATCCAGTCTGGTTAGTTGACACTAGATCCCATTGTTAGCATCCATTAGGGAAATGTGTGAAACATGGAACCATTGAAAAGCTACTTTGTTCTGCTATGTGATTTTTATCCATGACTATAAAATCAATCAATCGCAACACCTTATATATTTCTCAATGATCGACTAGTTGTTTAGTCATTTGTCAATTCTATTACACCTGAGTTAATTCGAAGAAAGGCGACTCAGTTTTCGCTTCTCATCGAATTTCAATGGTTATTTAACTAACACCGGTTCTTGATTAAGATCATCTGCAAAAGATATATATATCAATATAAGGTGGGAGAGAGACTCGTAATTCATGGTTATTCAAGCTAAACACAAGTAGTGCAATTTGCTGGTAAATAGCTAGCTACTCAAGCCATTTTAAATATCTGTTAATTAAAATTGTTAAAAACTACTCTTTCAGTGTGTCAATAATTAATTTTCCTAGAAATTTATTTGAAATCATTGACTGTTCACATTAAGAATTGTGTAATTTCTGTATTTTTTTTCAATGAAAACGATTCTTTGTATTTTATTCATCTACAATTTCAATGATCAACCGAATGATCAAGTTTAGCCATCAGTATGATAATTTCATAAATGACGTGAATGAATTTCAAAATGTACTTTGACAAGTGTTTTAATGCAGTTTCATGTTACTTTATATATTCTGGGATTTAGTGGAGTAATAAGAATTCTCTTATTGTCATAATGTCAACGAATCAATAAATATGAAATGAAACACAAAAATGGCGGAGGAAATTAGAGAATATTTGATTAACAAATATCCGTAGACTGAATATCCAACTTTATCTCTTAGATGAAATATAATTTCATTTGAAAGGTTTGGCTGAACTCTTTTTTAATAAACAACAATAGTCAGTTAAAATATTTTGATTTATGCAAAAGTGTTTAGGCTGAAACTCGGAAATTGATTTTATTTGACTTAAACGCATCTGACAAAAACGTCTCTAGCATGCATCCGGAGTTTTGAGGACTGTGCAATTTTTTACCTGAATATTTCACCAGTATGTACTTCTTTGTGAAATAGAATTCGCTATTAAACCACTCAATTTATTTGAAAATAATCCTATCAAATTATGCTTGAATAAAATTTGTGCTGCTAATTTCTGCCCTTTTCTAAATAACATAAATGTTTCTTATGTTCCATGTATATTGAAGAATAGAATATTTTGAAATGATGTTAGAGATAATTCTGAAAATGCATTGAAAAGTATCTTTTTTCCACGTCAAACAGTATCATTATTACAATTTTGAAAACTATTCATTCAAACACTAAGTTTTTTCCGTCCAAATCATTTTATGACTCAGTTTTTAAGGAGTTGTGGATGCGCACTGCCAAAGGAGACCCAAACAGCTATCCAATGTTTCCAGGTTTTCAACAGTCTTCTGACGGTAATCGATTTTTTGAATTCTATGAACCTTAACATTCTACATAACTCTGTTGTACTGATAAAACATTTTCTCAGATTTATTTCTAACATTTATCCTACTTATTTCAAATTGATTTCTTTGTTTTATTTTTAGGGTAGAAGCTTATAATAAACAAATGAAGATGAAGAAAGTCGATGATATGTCAGCGATGAATGTTTCTTATGCAAAAGACAATCAAGTAAGTACAATTTATGTGAAATAAAATAATCATATAATCTTGTGATATGAATAATGACAAATGTACTACTCCTTTTAATGATCACGTAATGATTATTTAACTGAGTTAATCGTAAATATTTTTTTGAATGTGTATTTGAACTCTGAATTTCAACTTGATAAACTTATAAAACAAATATATATATCATCACATATATATATGATCATAGATTACTTATGACCAACTTATATTAAATAAGGTAAATTATAATGTAGAGTCACCCTGAGCAACAATGCAAGAATGTTCGGGATGCGGTTTTCTTCGTCGAAATGCAAAATGTTGCTTCAAGATTGGGTCGCATCGGCACCTAAACTAGTGATAGAAAGTGAAGTAGTCGAAAGTGTTGACCACTTCACTTAGCTCGGGAGTCTCATCGGTGTTGATGGCCTGGTGACTGACGAAATCTCAGCACGGATACAGAAAGCTCGACTGGCTTTCGCCAACCTGAGTCACTTATGGCGCAGGCGAGATATCCGTTTGCTGACTAAAGGACGAGTGTTCTGAGCAGCAGTTCGCTCCGTCCTACATTATTGCTATGAAACGTGGCCGGTCAGAGTAGAAGATATCAGTAGGTTGCTGGTTTTCGATCATAGGTGTCTCCAAAGCAATGCTGTTGTTAGGAAGCGAGTTCTAGGTAAGGATGGCAGACCAATAGACGAAGTATTGATACTTCATCAGTTGAGGTGGTTGGGACATGTGTTGCGTATGCCTAACCACCGACTGCCTCGTCTGGCTATGTTTTGCGATGAAGAAATGGATTGGAAGAAAGTTAGGGGTGGCCAAACCAAAACATCGCACAAATACATGAAATCACCAACTAATGGACTATGTCATGTTAGTAGATGTTGGCTAACTGGTTTGGGCCCGCGAGATGATAGTAATCGATGGTTAGATACCCCGAATGACATGGCTCTCTCAAATCCTAGACTTCGTAATTCTTCATCATTACATCTTTATCTTTTTAAGTTTATTTGACTAGATTTTACTTCTTGAATAATATCTTCAAACCCAAATCTCTCCGATTACTGGTAATACTTTTACTACCCCCACTACTATGGGATTGGAATTGACGATTACATCTATGTGCTAATGTAGTATGGCAACATGAACTGATGTACGTATGTATATACGAATTTCTACATTGCTGTTGATTGATTGATGAATGTTGAGTCAATAAAACTAGTGGTAACATTTGTAACTATAGTAATGACTGGATAATAGTACATTATTGATTAGTTAGTAATCAGTCAATCAGTATTGTGACAAACTCTTCTATCAACTGCATATAATCATGAATTAAAGATAAAATGGCACATTTAATAAAATACGAAAATGTAGCTAATAAATTGTTCAGTAAAATATGAACTCTGTTTATTACAGGACATTGATAATTATTGGATAGAGAAATTCAATGAATCACAGTTATCATTGATAGTAATGATAATAATATTTAACTTTATTGGAATAGAGAACTTACTCGAGTGTTATATAAAAATATTATTTCTACATGCTAACTTCAAATTTAACTCAATGAATATCGAGGTAATTAGGTAGTTAATTTAAATGAAATAGAATAAACGAAATTTTTTACTCCAGTGATCATTATTTAATAGCTGCTTCAATAAATTTTAGATATATAGTTGAGCACAATAATTCCAGTTTATAATATTTTTTCGTATGTTGTAACTGGTTTTTTTAAATAGTGATACATTTAGTCTTGAAAAATCACCAATAAAACATTGAACTATTGAATGATCCTCTACCTTTAGTAATGATCTTGAGAAATACCTGATTATTTAGACGTTTTAATGAAGAATGAATTATCAATAGGTATTTTGGGTGACTTTACTATTTTTTTCACTGCTTATGACATGAAATTTTATGCAATGAAAGTATTACTTTACAAATTCGCGTAACGAAATATCAAAGTTAGTTTGCTGCTAGATGAGGGATCCAAGATGTGCGTTTCATCCTACTTAGGATTCAAAGATTGTATGCACCTACAATTTAAATATGAATGAAACTCACCACCTTTCTATCTGAACGACAATGCGTCATGCACTGAACTGTTGAGTTCATGACGTCGCTTGTTCAACGAGTATAACTATAAGTGATATTAAAGCAATCCACTAAGGAAAGATTGATCAAATTCAGTCTTTATTATAAATAATGGGAAAACTAAAACATATCTACATGTACAGTTTTGTTTTTAAAGTTGGAAGAGTAAAATATCAAGGTTGCGCATATGATATTTGTAGGATCCAAACTGAGGTTTGGACTGAGGAATAACTGTCTAGGTAGTTTAGATATGCGCCTTGAAACCAAAACAAGGGATCTGGGTAACTAACGGTTCTAATATTCATCATAAATATAAATTTACATCATTACATAAACAATATTGCCACTCAGCTATTCCACCAAAAATTTTCAATTATTCACATCAATATGAAGAAATAAATGATATTCTATGCCTCCTGGATAGATCAGAATCAGTCGACAAATAATATTTGATTGCTTTATAACACAGAATGTTTCCAATTCTGGAAGAGTGCTTCAATTCACAATCAAAATGCACAATTCCAGTCAATGCAACCGACACAATCAAAAGAGGAACAAATCAATATGGCTGTCACCATGACTAAGTATCAGCTTAAACAACATAATGCAGTTCAGAAAGAAACATAGAAACTCAGTAAAGGCAGAAGAAATAGAAACTATAATAAAATACAAATATTGCCATCTCGAATGGGATTGAACAGATTAACAAAATGTACAGCTGACGGAATTAATAAGCACAAATTACAAATGTACATATGGAGGGATTTGGACAAACGAAGCCTTCATGTAATGGATCTTACAATATTGATTTCTGCCTTGTTCAAATCTTTACTCCTAGTTATCTAAGTCTCCAATTTGATTGTTTCAAAAGTCAGTTAGTAGTATTTTAGGATATGAGATGCGTAAAGGCTCAATACTTCTAGTAAATTTAAATTCTAAACTTATCCTATGTGTCAACTAGACTTGTTCTAAAATCACATGAAACCTAATATAACCTGTTTGCAATTCAAACGATAATAATTCAATCTCTTTGTAAAACTCAACACGCATAGATTCTGGCAAACCAGATCAAACTAAAAACTACGAAGTTATGTGATGAGAAAAGCAAGCAGAAAGGAATAATTCTTATCTTCCTCATTATTTTCCAAATAAGTAGTGAATAAGTAAATTGATTTTATAGTTACTTTTTTTTTTAGCTACCTACCACTAGTTCACTAATACAATACTATTACGAAACCTCTATTTCTCAATCAAAATAATTTATAAACAATTATTGTCAGAGTTTACTAGTGTACTATTCATTCTTTTCTTTATCAGCAGTTACAAATAATAGTTAAGTTATTTTCAAATTTTTTATTATGATTTTAATCATCCAAATTAGTATAATATTTTTTGTTCTCCTTATTGATTTCGGTCAATTAATAGGATTCATTAACCTCATTAATTAGTACAACTTACAAACGAACAGCCATTACTTATATATAGTTATTGATATACAATTGTTTTAAATTATTCATTGAAAACATTTATTCCTTTTGGGGATGTTAGATCCACAGAACTCGCCTTGATAAATGACTTTATTTTAGATTTTATTCCTGGGCTGATCAGTTAACCTTGTGATCACATTTCCCACCAGAAAAATCCTTGGCTGTGATTGGTTGATGTGTCAGTTTAGTGTGCTCTTTTTTGTGACTCTCCCAAAGACATCTCTATAGAGTATAAATAAATGCGATTTGTATGCTTGCATGCATTGTGTACTACTGGCTGGGTGTTTGTAGAATACACTTTCTACGTCAAATCAAAACTTCTTGCTGGTACAGTTTGGACTGTCGGATCACAGTAGCCTACCTGGACACTGGTTCATTGTTTTGTTCTTGTTATTCGACTAAGGTGAACTCGTAATAGTTTTAAGCTAACCTAGAAACGAGCATAACAATTCCAGTAAAAAAATCGACTAGCATGTTGTACATTTATTTACATTCTTTTGAAATTTCCTTCACCGATATACCGCTAACTGTACTGATTATTCAAATCAAAATATAGAATTAAAAATAACAATATTATCCATTTACATGAAAAAAAAAACAAAACCGCCCCCCCCTCCCCAACATTCCCATCTCTATATTGGCATGATTTCTATGCTTAGTTTCATGGTAATTTTTCATTAAGATTTTATGTTTCATTCATATTACAGACTTCGAAAAATTATATTATACATTCTGCATTAACATTTTTCGTTTACTTGCTTTTTCTATACAAAACTAGATTTTTTGTTATCATTTGTCTGATATAAAATAAACCAGTAATGTTTTTAATCATGGCTTACTTCTCTGTTGTTTTTTTTTCTGAATAAAAACTGAATTGATCAATATGATAGAAATCCTGTTCATTTTGTCTGAATTCCAGTTCAAATTCACATTGATGCTTTTAATCACAACGAAAATTTAGACAGATTTCATTAAACATATGCAAGGCTTCCCGAATAAAACCAGTTTTCCTACTAAAATTCATTAGCTTAAAACATGTTTTTTTTTTTCGCTGATGGACCTTTTAAAGTAGTGGTCCGACGGTTAGGCGTCCGCGCACACTACCGAATATCCCGGGTTCGAATCCTGCAAGGTGCGGCAGTCGTGGATGAGCACTGACACTGTGAATCCCATACCAGGACGAAACGGCCGTTCAGTGCCTCCAGGTTTCTAATGGTGGTCTAACAATGATTGATTGATGATTTCAATTGTGTAAAAAACACAAATTTCTAAAACTCTAACTGAGTATAATGTACTGTCTAGGGAAATGAGTGATCCGCACCATAACCTTGAGAATGCGAACGTCTCTTCTTAGTCAAATGAGTATAGAAAATTAAATAAGAACTTATTTTTAAGTTGAGTAATCATTACTTAACA